TAGTTGTTGTTGTGGTTGTTGTTTTTGTTGTTGTGGTGGATGTGGTTGTTGTTGTTGCTGTTGTTGTTGTTTTGTGGTTGTTATGGTTGTTATGACTGTGGTTGTTGTTATTCGGATTCTGATTACTGTTGTTGATGCTGCTGCTGTTGTTGGAGATGGTAGTATTTTGGCAGATCCATTTATCATTATGTTTAATCGGTATACGTACACACACATATATATATATATATATATATACATACACCGTACGTACATGCTGTGTATATTACGAAGGTCTTACGGCCAGTGCCGCCGACCCTAAGAACGACGAAGATGAAAACGAGGGGGGGCAGGGGGAGGAGGATGAGTGGGAGGTGGAGGAAGGGTGGGGGAGATGGATGAGGGAGGAGGAGGGGGGTCAAGGATGTGGAGGAGAAGCAATAGGAGGAGAAGGAGGCAGAGGAGAGCAGGAGGAGGGGGAGCAGAGTGGGGAGGAGGAGGGGGGGGAGGAGGAGGAGGAGGAGGAGGAGGAGGAGGAGGAGGAGGAGGAGGAGGAGGAAGAGGAGGAAGAGGAGGAGGCCAAAGGCTTTCTTGGGACAGCCTGGGGCTCTCTTGAGGCCGTCTTGGGACAGCCTGGAGGCTTCTTGGGACGCTTTGCAGGCCTCTTGGGCCGTCTGGAGGCCGTCAAGGCGTCTTGGACAGATCGTTCGGGGTTCTCATGGACTGTCTTTGGGGCCTATTGGGGCACTCTTGGCCCGTCTTGGGGCTTTTTTGGGCTCCGGGACTCCCCGGGGGGGCGTCGTATCTGACCCCCCCCCCGGGACCCCCCCGGGACCCCCCCTGGGCCCCCCCCCCCGGCGGGGAAGGGATCGAAGGGAAGGGGTTTCCCTTCGACTCAATTACGACGTTGCTAAACTTCGCTTTGGTTGGCGCGCTGAGGAGGTCCCTGGAAAAGGGGGTAGCTTCGACGAGCCCAGGGAAAGGGGGAGGCAGGGAAAGGGGACGACAGAGACGACGACCAACGAGTGACGGAGATGACGACTTGAAAGGACAAGCCCCTCGCACATGCCGACAGGGTCGGCGGATTTTACAACATGATATATATATATATATATATAAAAATATCGCGGTGGATCCTTGCCGTGTAATTCGAGGATGTCGCGGTGGATCTTTGCCGTGTGGAAAATCTTCGTCATGCAGCATTCCTTTGTGTCAGACCCCCCGTATCCGCGGCGGCCTTCCCCCTCTCGCCTCGGCGCCGGCCGCACTTCCTTCCGAACGCGAGGCTCACGCCCGAGGGCTTCGTGGAGGGCTCCCAGACCAGTCGGGGGCGGAAAAGAGGGGGGTGATGACCAGGGGGGGGGTGGATATCATGGCGGGGGCCATGATATTTCCCCAGATCTCGTGGCGCCTCCTCTTGTTTCATGACGTCCCTGGCCCCCCCGCTGGGCCGCGCACATGCCGCCGGTCATGATTTTCACCCCCCCCTCTTGGACCCCCCCCTCTTGGCCGCTCCCGAACCAGGGGTCGACCGGACCACCGGTGGTGTGTCGGCGATCTCGTGGGCCGCTTTCGTTTCGACGCCGTCTTGCAGCAGAGCCGGAGCGATGACAAATCGGGGGAAGACGAGGACGAAGCGAAAGCGGAAAGCACTGTTTGGGTCGATCCCTGTTCCAAACTGGCCACCCAACAATATAACAGCAGCGCTCCCGCTCGAGACGTCTCCGCTTCTCGTTCAGGGCTGCCGCTGCTGGCCGCCGAGCGCTGGCCCTCAAAGCAAGCCAACGCTCCCGCTTGATGCGTCCTCGCTTCTTACGCAGGAGTGGTCAGCCACGTGTAGAGGGGTGTCTTCTAGGCCTCCCAGATGGGGTCGAAGTACAGCCAAGAGGCTGGAATACGGAACAGTTTAGGTACGACAGAGGCGTGATGTTCCTTGGGTCATTGTGTGGTTGCTCCTCTGGCCCTCCTCGTGCACGCTTGCACTTTTGGTGTCAAAAACGGGCATCGTTCATCATTTACCGTTCCTCATTTCAGCGGCCTGACTATAGATGGGGTTGGAGGATCACGCCGCATCGCCGATGCATCGCCGATGCGGCTTGATGTGAAGCCCGATCTGCTTCACGTCGACGTCGCCGATGCATCGCCGATGTCGCCGATGCATCGACGTTGCATCGCCGCATCGCCGATGCATCGGCGAAGCGGCGCGATGCTCCGACCACATGTACTCCGACCCAATCTAGGAGGCCTCTAGGTATGGGGAAGGGGGAAGGCTTCTGAGAAACACCCCTGCCTCTTAGAAGGCACGGGCCTTGTCTGTAGATGCAGGGCCGGCACCTTCTAATAAACAGCCTCCTTCTAAGAAGCCTTCCCCCCTCCCCCGACGCTCCTGTGCGCGACGCCACAGTGGCGTTCGCTATTTGGGTCCGCAAACCGCACTTCCATCAACAACGACGCTAATACTGGATACTTCCCGCGTTTTGCTCATGACGGGTGGCCTTGCTCCCTGCCGAAGACCAGCCCTCCAACAAAACCAGCGCTCCCGCTTGATAGTCGCTCGCTTTTTACTCAAGAGTGGCATTAGCGCCCTGTGTCTGCAAACCAGCCCCTATGCAACAACTCTGCTCCCGCTGGATACTTCTTCGTGCTTTTGTTGAGACTGGCGATTTTGCTCGCCGCCGAAAGCCGGTCCCCAACATAATCAGCGCTCCCGCCTGATAGTCGTTCGCTTTTTACGCAGGAATGGCGCGAGCGCCTTGGCGCCGCCCACCCGCCTCCCCTACAACAGCTGGACTCCCGCTTCGATAAGTCTTCACTTTCTACTCCAGAGTGGACAGCCGATCCCGTCCTCCTTCGTGGACAGCCACTCCGAGCCGATCTGATTCGATCCGATCCAATCCGATGCGATCCGATCCGACCCTCCTCCTCCTCCTCCTCCTCCTCCGCCTCCTCCTCCTCCTCCTCCCTCCTTCCTCCTCCTCCTCCCCTCCTCCCCCTCCCCTCCTCCTCCTCCTCTTCCTTCTCCTCTCCTCTCTCCTCCTCCTCCTCCTCCCTCCTCCTCCTCTCCTTCCTCCTCCTCCTCCTCCCCCTCCTCCTCCTCGGGTCGCCTGCGGCCCCGTGCACCTCGGGGGCCCTCTCGGGGGCCTCGGGCCTCCGGGGGGGCTGCTCTCGGGGGCCAGCCCCCGGAGGTCGCTCGGGCCGCCCGCTCGGAGCGCCTCCGCGCGGTCGGCCGGAGCGGCCGAGGCCCCACCTGGGAGCCCGCTGGAGGGGCTCGGATCTCATGGCGCCCACATCGCAGGAGCGGATCTCGTTTCAGTCGGGCCTGTCCCTCTGCAGAGGGAATGTTCAAGAGTGGTCCCAAACAATAGTCTGGGGTTGGACCAGTTTTGCCAATTTTTGGGGCATTTTTTCAGTGTTGTCAATGTTTCGCCCCAAATCTTCCTGCAGGGGGACAGGCCCGACCTAAGATTTTGTTCGGAAAACAATATCGGGGGTGGACAGAACCCCCACGATCAGCGAATCGGCCGTTTTCGGTTCGCGGGAGGGTCGCGCGGCCGTCATTTTTGCGGGTCCAGGTCCGTCGGTTTCGGTCCTGGGCCGTTTTCATTGAAGGGTGGTTTATTAGAGGGAGGTTTGTCCACCGCCGATTATGGCGCCATCACCGCAGAGCGGATTTCGTTGGGAAATCAGTCGGATGGGCCAGGGGTGTCCTGGAGAATCTCGTTCCGGATTGCGAGGTGAATTTCGTGCGTTTTTTTTCTGGTCAGGAGTGAAGGCTAAAACAACTTCATGTGAAGTTCACTTCGTTGTTCGCTCGCCGTATCTTGGCTTGCTAGCGAACAACTCCTCTTGCAAGCAACAGGGGGCGGCGGATATAGTGCAGTCAACCCGCCTAGTAATGTTCGACTTTTCAAGGGTACCCTTGCATCCTTGCCTCTTCGCCATCTTCGGTCCATCCTCGACCGCCTGAGATGGCCATCCCCGCTGGAAGAGTCTCGGAATGGGCGTCCAAGACCCTTTCATCCTTACCGCGCATCCTTCTTATACGGGTTGTCTGTTGTCGTCGGCCCATCCCGCCACCGTGCCTGGGTCGGGGATAGGAGGCCTCTCAGAAGCCTCGTGGGGCTTCTAGGAGATCTCTTGGGAGTCTCGTGGGAGCGTTCTTGGGGTCTCTTGGGGGCCCCCTGGGGACCTCTGGGCACCTCTTGGGTTCCTGGGAATGTGCCTCCTGGGGGCCTGCTGGCTGTCTCGGGGTCCCTCGTGGCGGGCTTTTGGGTCATCTCGCGCTGTGTTTGGGGCTTCTTTGTCTTTCTCGGACGCCATTGAAATCGAAAGGGCGAGTGCGCGACACTTGTGCAAAGCTTAAGTTTCTTCACCGATTTGAGCCTTTTGGGTCAGTTCGCAGTTCCCAAGGCCTCCAAGAAGGCCGAAGGAGGCTCCCAAGAGGGCTCCATTGGACCATCTTGGGCCATGTTGGGAATGGGGCATCCGACACCACGCTCCCGAGGCCTCCAGAAAGGGTCACTCGACAAGCCCCGGCAAACCTGGCAGGCCCCAACATTCTGTCCCTGGGACCCTTGAAGAGCTTTTCATTTGATAATGCTGATAATGCGAAGCGGCACAGAGATTTCACTCAGTGCCCATGTCACAGTGGCGGACATCGAGAATTTAGTAGAGACAGTAGTTCATGCATGTTAGAGATTACGAGGGTAAAGGTGAGCGGGGCGGATGTAACGAGATCACTTGTGGAGAAGGATTGCGCAGAGTGAAGGGTAGCTAGTAGAGAAAAGACGCTAGAGAGTACTGTTCAAAGAGTTGAGCGTGAACAGCCGAGGGTGGTGAGGAGCGAGTATAGAGTAGAGGGCAAAGAGGCTCGTATTCGTATCGATTTTACTTTGCTCATATCTACCACTCGAGTGCTGCGTTCACAGGTTTCGCGCGACTGGCTGACTAGGTGTCTCTCTGGCGTATTGCAAACTCGGCCTCGAACCTCTGCGTGCGCGCCTGAGCACCCGCGCCGCCAGGTGCCTCAGGTTCAAGTCGTGGAGATGGTCAAGCAGGTGGCCAAGGCTGCCACTGCTTCACAGCATCGCAAGGGTTGTGACGGGTAGAGGGCAAGGGACATAAGCAGCAGCAGGAGGAGGAGGAGGGCGGAGCGAGGAGGAGGAAGAGGAGAAGGACCAGTGTAAACCCAAGACTCATCAGCAAAGTTGGAAGAAACCCTCCCCTCAAGCTCCCTTTTCACAGGCCCCTACAAGGGTTCATTTCCACTGAAGGGGGTGCCCCGGTGGGAGACAACCGCTTGAAGATTCTCAATCGTGCCAAGATAGCATTCCTGGGACTTCAACGCCTCGAAGGAACTTGAATGTTGCGTCTTGGCCATTCTGGGTCTTGCCACAATGCTGTTCTTGGGAATTCAACACTGCGAATCAGCATAACTGTTGCGCCATGGCAATCCTGAATCATTCCAAGACACAGTTTCTGGTAGGGTAACCACGGGAATCCGTGAAACTCGTGCACATGTTTAAGTCGAGTGTGCACGGCCCTAGGGCGAGCGCCACATGTTGAAAAGGAACCGCCCTGCATCCGGGAAGCTCTTGCAATTTTTTTCCAAGACGAATGTGCGCGGCGCTGAGGCGAGAGCCATATTTTCAAAAACAACAGCCCTGCATCCGTGAAATTCACGCAATTTTTCAAGACGACAGTGCGCGGCGCTAAGACGAGAGCCACACTTTGAACACGAATGGTCCTCAATCGTTGACACCCTTGCAATTTGCTAGTGTGAATGCGCTCGGCGCTTATGCGAGAGCCATATTTTGAAAGCGACCCGCCCTCCATCCGTGAAGTTCTTGCGTATTTTGAGAACGAGCATGCGCGGCGCTAATGTGAGAGCCACATCATGTTGCGAACTGTTGCCAACGTTTCAGCTCCAGGGTCATACATGATGAGGAAGTCTCAGGCGAAACGCCAGGCACGCCCTGTCGACTGGCTTCGGGGGGCGACAGGGAGGAGTCATTTATCAGGAGAAGACATGGAGGATGAGGAGGAGGAAGAGGAGGAGGAGGACGAGAAGGAAGACCTCATCAACGATGTTAGAAGAAACCCTCTCTCCAAGCTCCCTCTGCATAGGCCCCTACAACGGTTCATGTCCACTGAGAAAACTGCTTCGTTGGAAGACCACCGTTTGAAGACCCTGAAACATGCCAAAGCATTGTTTTCGGGAATTCAGCGCGACGGGTCAACCTGATTGTTGCGTCTTGACGATCTTGGATCCTGGACTTCAACACCGCCAATCAACGTAACTGCTGCACCCTCATAACCCTGAATCCTTGCGAGACATAATCTCTGGTACGTTGATCATGAGAATCCGTGAAACTTCTGCTATTATTGTTAAAAGAATGTACGTGGCGCTAAGGCGAGAGCCACATTGTGAACAGCAGCCGCCCTCAATACGTGAAACTCTTGCATTTTTTGTAAGACGAATGTGCGTGGCGCCAAGGCGAGAGCCACATTTTGAAAATGAACCGCCCTCCATTCGTTAAGCTGCTGCCAATTTTTATGGTTCAGGGTCACAAGCGGTGAGGAAGTCTCATGCGAAACGCCCGGCCCACCCGAAAAACTGGCCTCGGGGTGCGACATGGACGAGGTATTGATTAGGAAAAGGAATGGAGGAGGAGGAGGAGGAGGAGGACGAGGAGGAAAAGGAGAAGGAAAAGGAGGAGGATGAGAAAGTTGAGAAGGACGAGGAGGATGATGATGATGATGAGGATGATGTTGATGATTATGATGATGATGATGTTGATGGTGATGGTGATGATGATGGTGATGATGATATGTATGCTGATGATGTTGATTCTGATGATGATGATGACGATGATGCTGACTCCGATGGTGCTGCTGCTGCTGATGATGCTGTAGATGATTATGTTGCTGCTGCTGATGATAATGATGATGATGATGATGGTGGTGGTGGTGGTGATGATGATGATGATGATGAGGACGAGGAGGAGGAGCACCATACTGAACTGACGACTTCTCAACGCTGCCGTCCCAAGTCCCCTCCTCCACGACCCTGCCGACGTGCTCTTCACCGCGCGAAGCGCCCCCCCCCCCCCCCCAGGAAGACGGGGCCTCGTGGCCCCGCAGGTCAGGCGGGAGCTCCCCTTGGAGAAGGAACTGCCCATTGTCCTTCCAGCCAGGAGGAGCGCGACAAGGCGGGGTCAAGCAAGTGCCCAGCGGCAGTGGCGTTTTGAGAAGGAATCACTCTTCCACTTAGGCGCCCGCAATTTAGAGCAGCGAGGGCGATGGGGCTTTTTGGAACGAGTGTGCGCGGTTCGAGTGCGAGATCCCCAGTTGAAACGTGTAAGCGTTGGGGCATTTCAAGCTCCAATATAGCAAGCTGTGAAGAAGTCAGGTGAAACGCATGGACCACTATGACGACACGTCTGGTGGCCTGGCAGGGAGGAGTTTGGTATAAGGAAGAAGGATGGAGCAGAGGCATGATGATGCTGATGATGATGATGATGATGATGATGATGATGATGATGGTGATGATGATGATGATGCTGATGATGATGACGATGATGATGATGCTGATGATGATGATGCTGATGATGATGATGATGATGATGATGATGATGATGATGATGATGATGATGATGATGATGATGATGATGATGATGATGATGATGATGATGATGATGATGATGATGATGATGATGATGATGATGATGATGATGATGATGATGATGATGATGATGATGATGATGATGATGATGATGATGATGATGATGATGATGATGATGATGATGATGATGATGAGGTTGATGACGATGGGTTGTGGTGTTGATGATAAATAATGGCGACCGTGTGGATGATGATAAGGATGAGGGTACGGAACATTAGTAGGGAGCAAGGGGATCCCGAATCCTCGGAGGATCCCCGAGTGCCCCAAGCGGGTGGCAACGAGGCGCCCACGGGCGGCAACGTGGCGAAGCCTCGGCGGAACCTCCAAACGCGGAGAGCGGCAACGAGGCGCCCACGGGCGGCAACGCGGCGAAACCTCCGCGGACACCCAGGCGCGGTGGGCGGCAGCAGCGTGTCGAAACCTCGGCGGATCCCCCCAGAGCGGTGGACGGCAACGAGGCGCCCACGGGCGGCAACACGGCGACAACTCTGCGGACCCATCCAATTCTTTACGGGCGCAGATGAGAAACCCTGAATGCACACGCTGCTCGTGGAACTACTGGCAGCACGAGGTTTTCACACTATCCTTGTTGCAGGTTTTTTTCGCCTCTGAGGCAGATCGCTCGACCTGGAAGCGTCGAAATGGCTTGTGGTCGCCGTGCGCTCTCAGCGGCTTGCGGGGCGCTCGCGGCAGCCACCTGCCTTCACAGGGGCGCCTTTGTGCCAGGGCCCGTGCGCGATCGCGTCGCGCCGCTTGCTGCAGCCTCCGCTGCTGCGGCGTTCAGCCCTCCCGCCCAGGCGGATGATATCGGCGATGCTTTGAAGAACTTTGGCGTCGATTCGTACGCGTTCGCCAAGGAGGTGGACTCGAAGAGCGGAATCTGCTTGCGGGTTCCCGGGAAGTTCCAGCGGCTGGGGGCTTTGACAGCCATCGGTGACATGACCGTGATGGGCGACCAGGCGGGCCCGAAACATTGGCGGCGGCGGAGGCCCATCACAATGCCATCGGCGGCGTCAGCGGCGCGAGTGGCGTGACCTCGCAGGCCGATTGGGATGCCGTGAACGCGGCGCTTGGCCGCGTTATCGCCTCCGCGCCAGAGTCCACGGTGATGGGTGTCTACAACTCGTTCTCGACCATCACAGACTCGAGGGTACTTGCGTGCATGAAGTCCTTGGTGAACGGCGCCGATGCCGAGACGGCGTGCTCGGTCTTTCTGGCCTTCAAGGGCGTGGTGAAGAAGAACCAGGTGTCCTCGCCTGGGCCCGCGGCGGCGGCACCCTCGGGCGACGGCGTCGGCGCGGCAGCCAGGAAGCTGTCGGACGTGTCCTGCCCTTTCTTGAAGTCCTTGGACTGGACGCCCGACGTCTACCTGAAGCCTCTCCCCAGCGCCTCGGCGAGGGGGATGCCCTGAAGGCTGCCGACGAGGCGATCCTCGCGGGCGCCGCGGCGGGCGGGAGCGCGCCGGGGCGGCGGCGGAGGCGCGTCGCAGGGCCATCGGCAGCGTCGGCGCCGAGGGCGTGGCCTTGGCCGCCGACGACGAGGCCGTGAACGCGGCGGCTCGGCCGCGTGGTCGCTTCGGTGCCGACCGCGCAGGTCATGGGCGTCTGCGACGCTCTCGCCGAGATCGTTCCGGGGGGACCGTGCCCGCCAGCGGTGCTTTCCGCGGCGGGCCCTCTGGCGGCGGCTGCAGCCGCCAAGAGGTTCTGCGAGCTCAGGGGCGGGGTGGGGGCAGCCCGCTGAGCGCTGAGCAGAGCCTCTTAGGACCGAGGCCGGGGAGCTGCCGGGCCAGCGCCCGCGTCGAGGCGTGCACGCGCGGATGTTCTTGCAAGCGCTTGGCTGCAGCAAGGGGCCAACAATGGGGCTCCCCGTGCCCAGGCGTGCGCGGAGCGCGCTCCTCGGACTGCAGGGTGGATGCGGGGGAAAACGCGCAATCTTTACTGTGGGATGCCGTCTCGGAGGAGACCTCGGGCCATCTTGAAGACCATTCGTGGCGCTTCGGAAGCCATTCGGGATGGTGTTGCTACGTCATGGGGAACCCGAACTGGCGCGGGAAGCATCTTTGACCTCCCCCCCTCCCGGTGCCACGACTACATCGTTAGCCATCTTTGGACGCTGCTTCACGAGGGCCGTGTGCGCTAGGACGCCAAGATTGAGCGCGTGGTGGGTTCCGCTCCAGGGTTTATCTCGATCCGAGCGTTCCGACTCGATATGGATTCTGGTCGGCTCGATCCGATTTGATCCCGATGTTTTTGACGATCCGATGTGGTTCGATACTTGCGCGGGCGCTGTTGTGCGTCCTGGCGCAGCCTATCCGATCCGATTCCGATTCCGTGCCGATGCGGCTCGATCCGACGCGCGTTCCGAGCCGAGCTGATTTCCCGATCCGATGATGACTGATCCTGCGCTCCGCCCTCCTCTCCTTTATCCCCTCCTTCGCCCTCCCCTCGGAGGAGGGGGAGAGGCGAGAGGGGGAGGGAGAAGGATGATATTCGGGGGCCGAGAGGGGAAGTACCTTCTCCCGCCTCCCCCCGCCCGCACCCCCACTCTCCACAGGGTTCATCATGGCCCGAACAATCCGACTCTATATCGATCCTGGCCGGCACGATCTGATCCGATCCCGATTTTCGCGCGATCCGGTGCAGCCCGATGCGCGCGCATGGCGCCGTTGTGCATCCTTGCGCAGCCGACCTCGATTTGTTTTTGACTCTGGTTCGATGCGGCCCAATCCGACGCACACTTCGATCCGTTCCGGCTTTCCGATTCGATGTTGACGGATCCCGATCCCGCCCTTCATCACCCCGCCCTCCTGCCTTGTCTCCGTGCTGCGCCCCGCAGACCGACTACCGCGAAGCGGTCAAGGAGGTCGTTGTGCAGGTGCCGCAGCCAGTGCAGAGAATGGTGGAGGCACCGATGGGGGGGTGCTTCTGCTACCGCTTTCCCTGGAGAAGCGGGAAAAGGGATGAGGGGGGGAGGGAGGGAGGGAGGGAGAGAGGGAGGGAAGGAGGAGGGAGGGAGGGGGAGGGGGGGGGGTGGGGAGGGGGGAAAACAAAAAAGGAGCAGGAAGAGGAGGAGGTGGAAGAGGAGGAGGAGGAGGAGGAGGAGGAGGAGGAGGGAGGAGGAGGAGGGAGGGAGGAGAAGGAGGAGGAGGAGGAAGAGGACGAGGAGGGGAGGAGGAGGATGATGAGGAGGAGGATGAGGAGGAGAAGGAGCAGGAGGAGGTGGAGGACAATTCATAAGACGAATGAAATATAGTAATACAACAACGAATAAACATCATACAATCCATATACACAAAATGCATAGAAATAGAAAGGAGGAAGCTGATGATAATAACACCAATGCTAATTATACGAATAAGAAGCATGAGCAGGATACTAACAATACTACGAAAACAAATGCGATTGTTAATGCTATTAACAACAATCGGATTAGCCGTACTAAAAACAATGGGACTACTAATGCGGATATGAATGCCACTGCGACAAATAATACTGATCATGCTGGTCATAAGAATGAAAAGTCGTTTTACTTTGATAACTAATAACAATGGTACAAGCATTCATGTTACAATCAAAAAGAGTACTACTACTCTTGATAAGAATAACAGTAACACGATACCAGCAACCACTTCAGCAACAAAACGTATACTACTACTATTATTACTACTTCTTCTTCTTCTACTACTACTACTACTACTCCTATTACAACTATTATTGCTACTACTACTCCTATTACAACAACTACTACTACTGCTACTGCTACTGCTCCTACTACTACTCGCTGCTACCACTACTACTACTACTACTACTACTACTACTACTACTACTACTACTCCTCCTACTACTCCTACTACTACTACTACTACTACTACTACTACTACTACTACTACTACTACTACTACTACTACTACTACTACTACTACTACTACTACTACTACTACTACTACTACTACTACTACTACTACTACTACTACTACTACTACTACTACTACTACTACTACTACTACTACTACTACTACTACTACTACTACTACACTACTACTACTACTACTACTACTACTACTACTACAAATTTCTATTACTATTATTAGTTTAACAACAACAGCAATTACTACTACAACTACTATAATAATGCTAGACTAATAGTAAGACGAGGAGGATGAGGAGGAGGAAAAGGAGGCGGAGGAGGAGCAGGAGGAGGAGAAGGAGGAGGAGGAGGAGGAGTAGGAGGAGGAGGAGCAGGAGGAGCAGGATAAGCAGGAGCAGCAGGAGGAACAGGACGCGCAGGAGGAGCAGGAGGAGCATGAGGAGCAGGAGCAGGAGGAGGAACAGGAACAGAAGGAGGAGGAGGAGGAGTAGGAGGAGGAGGAGGAGGAGGAGGAGGAGGAGGAGGAGGAGGAGGGGAAGGCGGAGGAGCAGTAGCAGTGGCAGGAGCAGGAGGAGCAGGAGGAGCAGGAGGACGAGGCAGGAGGAGGATGATGATGATGAATAGTCACGATCGAAAACGAAAAGGGCGGTTTATCGAGGTTTTGGGATACGCGTGTTAGTGGTACGCGAGCAGACAGAGCGAACAGTCTGAAAATGATGGCCGTTGTTGATGATTAATCCTCACACTCGAAGAATAAGTTCGGTTGATCCCGTCTGCTCGGCGACCATCGTGTTTTTCAAGCGAAGTGCTCTTCTCGGGGCTCGCACCTTGTTTTTGACAAGGGCAAGTGTGGGGTCACCAAACTGCGTTGTTGGGCCCCGAGCTGAGACAATAACAACAACGGTTCCCGCCGGATATTCCCTCATAGTTTATGGAAAAATCGCGCTCTCGCGCGGGAGTTCCTCACAATGTATGCAGGAATCGCCCTCTCGCGTGGGACTTCTTTGCAATTTACTCAAACGCTGCGCCCTCGACGCTCAGGAATCGCGCTCTCCCTTTTTTTTTTTTTCGCGATTCACTTGAGAATCGCGCTTTCGCTCGAGACCTCCTCGCGATTCATGCAGTATTCATGCTTCAGCAGCCTGCTCGACCTGGCCGCTTGAGCCCGCCTTCCCGACTCGCCCGTTAGGGTCCACCCGCCCGATCAGCTCGTGTGGTTCTTCCACGTGTTTTTTGTTCCTCGCCCCCGTGTTGCTACTTCCGTGCTCCATCCTTTTCCCTCCCCCTTCCATCCGTCCTCTCTTGCTTTGTGTAAGGGCTGCACCAAGTACACGCGCCAGGTAAGGAAGAAATGCCCACATGGGTTACGATCGAAAGCGAACACGGCGGGTATCGCGTCGTGGGTTTGGGATGTACGTGTTGAATGGAACGCGAGCAGGTCAGATCGATCAGCATTGAAACTGTTGTCCTTGTTGAGTACCCATCTCTGAAGAATAATTGTGCTTGACCCCCTGACCATTGTGTTTTTCAATTCGCGTGCTCCTCCCGGGGTCTCGCGCGTTGTTTCTGACAAGGGTCAGTGTGGGATCAACAAACCGCGCCACTGGCTCCCGGTTTACGATTTGTTCCAGAATCGTGCTCTTGAGCGGGAACTCTTCACAACGCATGCATGAATCGCGCTCTCGCGTGGGACTTCCTCGCAGCTGCGCCAACGACGCCCAGGAACCGCGATATCGTTTTTTTTTTTTTTTTTTTTTTTTTTTTTTTTTTTTTTTTTTTTTTTTTTTTTTTTTTTTTTTTTTTTTTTTTTTTTTTTTTTTTTTTTTATATATAATATTATTATATATATATATATATGGGGCGGGAAATCGCGCTATCGCTCGATACGTCCTCCAGAATCATGTAGTATTCACGCTTGAGCAGCCCGCCTGCTCGACCTGGCCGCGTGAACTCGCCTTCCCGACCCGCCCGTTAGGGTCTACCAGCCCGATGGACCCGTCTGGTTCTGCCAAGTGTTTTCTGCTCCTCGCCCCCGTCCTGCTAATCCAGTCCCGTGCTCCATCCTTCCCCCCCTCCCTTCCATCCGTCCTCTCTTGCGTCGGTTTAGGGGCTGCACTTATTACACGTATTACACGCGCCAGATAAAGAGTACATACCCATTTACATGTTGTTGAGTTCTCATTCTTAAAAAATATTTCTCGTTGATCCCCCCCACCGGTGCACATTGTTTTTTTTCAATTGAAATGCCCACCCCGGGGCTCGCACCTTGTTCTTTGTCAAGGAAAGTCTTCCTGCTCAAACCCCGGGTTGCAACAACAACGGCTCCCGCTTGAGACTTCCTCACAATTTAGCCAGGACCCCCGCTCCCGCCCGAGACCTCCTCGCATTTTATTCAAGAATCGCGCTATCGCTTGGGACTTCCTTACGATTTATTCAGGAATCGCTCCTCCTGCGCTCTGGAGTCGCGCTCTCGCTGGAGACTTGCTTGCAATTTACTGAAGAATAGCGCCCTTGCGTTGGAATTTCTGGCAATTTACTCCAGCGCCGCGCTCCCGACACCCAGGCACCCAGGAGTCGCGCTCACGCTTAGGACTCTTTCGCAGATTACCGAGGAATCGGGATCTTGCTGCCCTTCGTGGCCCCGTTGCAGCCCTTCGTGGCCCCCTCGCTTTGTTTCGTGGCCCCGTTGCAGCCCTTCGTGGCCCCCTCGCTTTGTTTCGTGGCCCTGTTGCAGCCCCTCGTGGCCTCCTCGTTGCCCTTCGTGGCCCCGTTGCAGCCCTTCGTGGCCCCCTCGCTTTGTTTCGTGGCCCCGTTGCAGCCCTTCGTGGCCCCCTCGTGGCCCCGTTGCAGCCCTTCGTGGCCCCGTTGCAGCCCTTCGTGGCCCCCCCCGCGCTCGTTCGCGCCCGTGGTGGCCCCATATGCATGCCCTTCGTGGCCCCGCTGTCGCCCTTCGTGGCCCCCTCGCTGCCCTTCGTGTCCCCGTTGCTGCCCTCAGTGGCCCCGTCCGTACCCTCCGCGGCCCAACATACGCATGTCCTTCGTGGCCTCCGCTCGTTCGCGCCCGTTGTGGCTCCATGTGCATGCCCTTCGTGGCCCCGCTGTCGCCGTTTGTGGCCCCCTCATTGTTCTACGTGGCCCAGGTGCTACCCTCAGTGGCCCCATCGTTGCCCTCTGTGGCCCGTCATTATCTGCCCTTCGTGGCCCACGCTCGTTCGCGCTCTTCGTGGCCTCATACGCATTCCCTTCGTGTCCCCGCTGTCGCCCTTCGTGGCCTACTTCGTGTCCTTCGTGGCTCTGCTGTCGTTCTCTCTCGCTCTCGCTTTCGCTCGTCGTCGTCGTCGCCGTCGCCGTCGTTGCCGTCGTCGTCGACGTCGTCGTCGTCGTCGTCGTCGTCGGTCCCCTGTCCGTCCCTCTTGGGGTCGGGTCGACGGTCCGCGGCCGCCCCGCCGATCAGCGCTGCCGCTGGCCAGGCCGACGGTCCGCGGCCGCCCCGCCGCTTGCCGGGGCCCGGCCTGCAGGGAAGAAAGGTATACCCCCCAAAAGGGGTTCGATCGAAGACGAAAGGGTGGGTATCGAGGGTTTGGGAAATTCGCGTTATTCGACACTCGAGCAGATAAGGGCGAACAGTCTTAAAATGATTGTTGTTGTTGTTGCTGCTTTCGTTGTGAGTGTCGTTGAAAGTGTCGTTGTCGTTGTCGCTGTTGTTGTTGTTGTTGTTGTTGTTGTTGTTGTTGTTGTTGTTGTTGTTGTTGTTGTTGTTGTTGTTGCTGCTTTTGAGTTTTCACTACTGAACAATAGTTATTGTTGATCCCGCCCCTCCGGTGACCATTGTTTTTTCAATGCAAGTGCGTGGTCCGGGGCTCGCGCCCGGTTTTGTTATCAGGGAAAACCACGGGGCTCAAATTGGGCCCCTCGCCCCCCGTTTACAACAACAGCGGCTCTAGCCTGATACTTCCTCACAATTCAATATATTCCCAAATCGTGCTCCCGCACGGGACGTCCTGACAATTTGTGTACGGCTCGCGCTCTCGCGTGGGATTTCCTTGCAATTTTTCCAGACGATGCGCCCTCGGCGCTCAGGAATCACGCTTTCGCTCTGGCTTTTCTCAAGATTTAGTTGGAAATCGCACTATCGCTCGAAACATCCTTGCAGTTCATGCAGGGCTCACGTTTCAGCAACCTGCCTGCTCGACCTGGTCGCCTGGGCCCGCCTTCCCGACCTGCCCGCTACGGGTCTGCCTACCCGATCTGCCCGTCTGGTTCTACCACTTGCTTTCTTCTTCTAATTGCTCTCGTGCTCCGTTCTTCTCCCTCCCCCTTTCACCCGTCTTCTTTTCCCTTGTTATAGGGTCTAATGCACGTGGCAGGAAAGGAAGATATACCCCCCAAGGGGGGTACGATCGAAGACGAAACAGGCGTGTACTGAGGGTTTGGGATCGACGTATTGTTCAGAAAGTGAGAAGGTAGGAGCGAACAGTCTTAAAGTGATTGCCGTTTTTTGCTAGCGTATTATTATTATTAGTAGTAGTAGTAGTAGTAGTAGTAGTAGTAGTAGTAGTCGTAGTACTAGTAATAGTACTCGTAGTAGTAGTAGTAGTAGTAGTAGTAGTAGTAGTAGTAGTAGTAGTAATAGTAGTAGAATTTGTAATAATAGTTGTTAATGATATTGTTGTTACTGTTGTCGCCGTTGTTGTTTTCGTTTGTGTTTTTGTTGTCGCAGCAGTAGTTGTTGTTACTGTTGCTGGTGTTGTTGTGGTGGTAGTGGTGGTTGATGATTGTTGTTGTTGTTGTTGTAGTTGTTGTTGTTGTTGTTGTTGTATTTGGTTGTTGTTCTTGTTGTTCGTGTCGTCGTCGTTGCTGTTGGCGTTGTTGTTATTGCTGCTGTTGCTGCTGCTGCTGTTGCTGTTGCTGTTGTTGTTGTTGGTGTTGTCGTCGTCATCGTTCAATATTCACTTATGAAGAATAATTGTTGTTGATCACCAGAAACGGGTCCGCGCGCTCTCGCCTCGATGTTGTTTACATTTTCTCTGAAAACGAGGCTCCCGCGCGAGCGTTGGCTTGAGTCTAAATGTGGGCCCTTTGAGGCCCAGCTACGACGACATTGGCTCCCGCTCGATATTTCCTCACAGTTTACCCCGAGACACCCATGCCAGAGAGGCCCCCGAACTCAAGGTACGGCGCTTTCGCTCGAGACCTCCTCGCAATTCAGCCAAGTTGGCGGAGGCCCAGCCACGACGACAAGGGCTCCTGCCCGATATTTCGTTTCGATTTACTCCGAGAGCCCCTGGCCAGGAAGGCCCCCGCACTCAGGAACGGCACTCTCGCTCGAGACTTTCTCGTAATTCGGCAAATTGGTGGAGGCCCGGACACGACGACAAGGGCTCCTGCTCGATATTTCGTTTCGATTTACTCCGAGAGCCCCTGGCCAGGAAGGCCCCCGCACTCAGGAACGGCACTCTCGCTCGAGACTTTCTCGTAATTCAGGCAAGTTGGTGAAGGCCCGGACACGACGACGAGGGTTTCCGTTCGAAATTTTTCCATCAGTATTCCGAGAGCCCCTGGCCAGAGAGGCCCCCGAACTCAGGAGCGGCGCTCTCGCTTGAGACTTCCTCTCGCTTCAGTCAGTGGCCGACAAGGAAGTGTTTCCCCCCGAAAGGGGGTCAATCGAAGACGAAGTGGGCGGGTATCGAGGGTTGGGGTATACAGAATGCAAGACACGCGTGCCAGTAAGAGCGATCAGTCTGAGAGGATCGTTGTCGTTGTTGTTGTTGTCGTTGTTGTCGTCGTTGTTGTTGTCGTTGTCGTTGCCGTTGAACTCTCATTTCTGAAGAACAATAATTGTTGATCCCTCCTCACTGGTACATACCGTTTTTCTCAATCAAAGTGTGGCCCTCGACACTCGCACCCTGTTTTTTGACAGTGAACGTCTTCGTGCTCAAACTGGGCCCCTGGCCCCCCAGATTGCAACAACAACGGCTCCCGCCTGAGACTTCCTCCAAATTTACTCAGGACCCCCGCTCCTGAGATTTCCTCACAATTTACTCAGGATCGGTGCGCCCGCCTGTGACTCCAATGCAATTTAGTCAGGACCCCCGCTCCCATCTGCGACTTCCTCACGATTTACTCATGAACGGCGCTCCCGCTGAAGACTTCTTCGCAATTGAGTCAAGACTTCCTCGCAATTTAATCCAGACCCCCGCTCCCGCCAGAGAACCCCTCACATTTTATTCAGGAATTGCGCTCTCGCCTGTGACCTCCATGCAATTTATTCAGAAATCGCGCTTTCGACGCTCAGGAAACACGCTGCGCCAAGGACGCCGTTACACTTTACTTAGTAATCGCGCTCTGGCCATACTCAGGCATCCCGCTTGAATGTCCGACCCGCCCGACCCGCCCGTCAGGGGATCGCCCGCCCGTCGTGGGCTCCCGCCCGAGACTTCCTTCAGGAACGGCGCTTTCGCCTAGGACTTCCTCGAACGTTCACGCTCTTACCTTCCTGCTCCTCCTCCCTCTCCCTCCTCCCTCCTCCCTCCTCTCCTCCCTTCTCTCTCCCTCCTCTCTTCCCTCATCCTTATGCCTCTCTGCCCTATCCCCTCTCCCTCCTCTCCCTCCTCCCTTCTCCCTCCCCTCTCCTGCCTCCTCCCTTCCCTCTTTCTCTCTCTCTCTTCTCTCTCTCTCTCTCTCTCTCTCTTTCTCTACCTTTTTTTTTTTTTTTTTTTTTTTTTTTTTGTTTTTTTTTTTTTTTTTTTTTTTTTTTTTTTTTTTTTTTTGTTTTTTTTGTTTTTTGTTTTTTTCTCTCTCTCTCTCTCTCTCTGCCTCTAATGAACCGCCCCCCTCTTTGCTCCTTTCGTTCCTGGCGTTTTCCCTCTTCCTTCGTCCCTCCCCCTCCCTTCCTCCCACTCTCCCTCGTTCTACCCCTCCTTTTTTTGCATGGCCCATACTAATTCCAATGGCGGGCACATGTACGCCCACGAAGGATTGTCCGCGATTGTCCGCCCGTTCAGGTTTGCCCGCCTGCCCAAGCCCGCCGCACCCCGCAAAGAGAAATAATCCCTCCAAAGGGGGTGTGATCGAAGACAAAAAGGGCTGGTATCGAGGGTGTGGGGAACTCGTTTTGAATGACACACGGGCAGGTCAGAGCGATCAGTTTTGTATTGATTGTTATTGTTATTGTTATTGTTATTGTTATTGTTGTTGTCGTTGTCGTTGTCGTTGTCGTCGTCGTCGTCGTTGTCGTTGTCGTGGTCGTTTTTTTTTTTTTTTTTTTTTTTTTTTTTTTTTTTTTTTTTTTTTTTTTTTTTTTTTTTTTTTTTTTTTTTTTTTTTTTTTTTTTTTTTTTCTAAAAAAAAAAATATTATTGTTGTTGTTGTTGTTGTTGTTGTTGTTGCTGTTGTTGTTGTTGTTATGGTTGTTGTTGTTGTGGTTGTGGTTGTGGTTGTGGTTGTGGTTGTGGTTGTGGCTGTGATTGTTGTGTTGTTGTTGTTGTTGTTGTTGTTGTTGTTGTTGTTGTTGTTGTTGTTGTCGTCGTCGTACTTTTCCTCGACCCAGCCAGCTTCGGCTGAGAGCCGTGGCACTTCACGCGAGCCAGTTCCACGTACACTCTCGGGAGCCTTGAGACAGGGGTCAATGCACACGGGGGTCATCCAGAGCGCGCGATCTTGCAGGATCCTGCAGGGCCAGGGTCGCACTGACCCGGGTTTGGGCGCAGGATCCTGCAGGATCTTGCAGGATCCTTCGCATTGCCCCGGGTTTGGGCGCAGGATCTTCGAGGATTTTGCGGGATTCTGCAAGGCCTGACTGACCCGGGTCTGGGTTGACCCGGGTCAGTACATCCCCGACCTCAATGAGTACCAGCACTTCAAGAAGTTTGTGCACAGGCCTGCGTGGGCCCGCTGCCTGCCACGGACCCCGAGCGAAGCTGGGCACACGGCGCGCCTCTCTTGCGCACTTCCCGCGGGCCGGGCAGGGGGAGGGAGGGAGGAGGAGGAGGAGGAGCAGGAAGAGGAGGAGGAGGAGGAGGAGGAGGAGGAAGAGGTGGAGGAGGAGGAGGAAGAGGAGGAGGAGGAGGAGGAGGAGGAGGATGAGGAGCAGCAGGAGGAGGAGGAGGAGGAGGAGGAGGATCGCGGCCCTCTCGAGGTTCCCCACGTGGTGCACCAGGAGGTGATGGTGGAGATGCCGCAGACGCAGGTCGTCGACCTCGTCAAGCAGGCCCCCTCGGCCACGCGCAGAGGGGATATGGGGGGAGGGGGAAGGCTTCTCAGAAGCACCCCTGCTTCTTGGAATGCGCGGACCTTGTCTGTACAGTGAGTGGCTTGAATAAGGAACACTTACTTTCACAAGGGACTCGGTCGTTCCTGAGGCTTGCATGCGTTATCTATCGTTCCTTATGCGTTATTTTTATTCATCGTTCCTTATGCGTCATTCCGTAGGCAAGAAGGGGTTTCGTTCCTTACTTGTCGTTCCTTAGGTCAGGCCGATGACTGTAGATGTTGCTGGCGCCTCCTCGGAAGCAGCCTCCCAAGAAGCCTTCTCCCCTCCCCTGCCCCCTCGTGCGCGCCGCCAGCCCTTGCCCGCGCGCTCCTCCCTGTCCCCTGGACGGCCTTCCAGCCCAGGCTGGCCGATGAGGCCGAGGACGGCCGAGCAGCCCCCCGCGTGTACGGCGCTCACCCACCCATCGATGATTGTGTCAACGCGCCAGGAGGAGCGCTTGCCGTTTGCGCGCGCGTGTGCGTGTGTGTGTGTGTGTGTGTGTGTGCGTGTGTGTGTGTGTGTGTGTGTGTGTGTGTGTGTGTGTGTGTGTGTGTGTGTGTGTGTGTGTGTGTGTGTGTGTGTGTGTGTGTGTGCGTG